TTCCCAGGAAAGAGTCTGATTGGGTGTTTGGGATTGGGTGTTCCCATGGATAAGGTTTGATATCAGCTTGGGAAACTCCTGTGATTATTCCTGGGTCCATTGTGAAATTCTCAGAGTTACTGTGAAGGTATTACATTCTTTCTGGACAAAATGATGGGATTTGCTCCAGTGTGTGTACATGTGTTTGGTGCAACTTTGGTGAGTTAATGCTGGAAGTTGTTGTAGGGTGGGACAAAGGACTTTTGTTTGCTGGAGCTAGGTGTGAATGTTTCAACTGACTACCTTGATTAGCATTTAATGGCTTGGAAGTGCCTGGGGGAATCTTTTGTTGAGAGGTGATTTGATGTGCCTGATTGTTTACTCTCTGTTGTTTTGCTGTTGTAATTTTTGAGTTTTTTAATACACTCTCACAACCACCATGTCAGACTACACAGAGAAGCCATTGAAATCCACAAGCATGTGGAGAATTTTAACAGAAAGGAAGGAACCATGAAAATGAACAAAATCTGGCTGCCAGTACTAAAAAACTCAAAAATTACAACAACAAAACAACAGAGAGTAAACAATCAGGCACACCAAATCACCTCTCAACAAAAGATTCCCCCAGGCACTTCCAAGCCATTAAATGCTAATCAAGGAGGTCAGTTGAAACATTCACACCTAGCTCCAGCAGACAAAAGTCCTTTTTCCCACCCTGGTCATTCCACAGATATATAAACCCATTTTCCTACTTCCAACAGACCTCACTACCCCTGAGGATGCTTGCCATAGATGCAGGTAAAACATCAGGAGAAAATGCCTCTAGACCATGGCCATATAGCCCGAGAAAACCTACAACAACCCAGTGATTCCGGCCATGAAAGCCTTCGACAATACATAAATGGATCTAAATTTCTATTATAGTCTCATGGCCTTTCCAACACACTCATTTTCCTATTTCCATCACATTTTCACATTCTCATTCCCTTTATTCTGCCCCATTTTGTAAACGTAGCAGATATGGAACGAAAACTTCATGGCAAAAGTGTTCCGATTTGATCATGTTAACAGCTCCAAATACATGAAAGGGTTGACTTTGTGTAGTTTCATTTGTACTGTTGAAAGATTTGCTGCTGTCATAAACCCGTTTCATCTCCTGCATGAAGTAAAATGATATCCCAAGGAGAAACCTGCTAAATCACAAGTCCACAATATGTTTCAATAAGCTAGGGAGGTCAGTTTAATGGAAAATTTATTCTGGACCAATGGGTTCCTGGAGCTAGGTAGTTGATGCCTTCATTTTAAATAGCAGCCTTTTATAGTGCTACTCTTAAAAAGACTTGCCTGCAAATTTAAATGTTATCTAGTTTTACAGAAAGGGCAATGGGGCTGAAGGGATTTTGTGTTTAATTCATTTTTATGGACAATTCGTTTTACCGGGTCCATCTTTTGACCTATGTAAGACTGAAGGAGCATTAACATTGGCTCAGTCTACATATTGTTTTAAAAAGTGAATGCAAACGAATCTTTGTTACACTAATACAGTGGTTCACAACCTTTTTTAAACCAGGGACCACTCTCCAACATTAGTACCAAAAGGGTTACGAATCAGTTTTTGGTCAACTTTAGATTTGGTTTGGTTAGTTGGGGTGATGATCAAGAAAATTGCATTGGATAGACCTAATCAGCTCTAGTTTCTTTTTCTTTTTTTGTGATATAATTTTTATTGAGAGTTTTGCCTTAAAGATACATAAAGCGGGTCAGGCCCGTAGCCAGGATTTCGTTTCGGGGGGGGGGGGCTAAACAAATTTCAGGGGGGGTGGGGAGCTGAGTCTGAGTGAAAGAGGGTCTACCCTACAAACCTTTTGTATCATTACCCCAATACCCCCATGCATATGGGATATATTGAGTATGGTGATCAGATCATGATATGAATAAACATAACAGTTTAAATAATGCACCAGTAAGGCCTTTTCGCGAACCACCATGAGAATTTCGGGGGGGGGGCTGAAGACCCTCAAGCCCCCCCCCCTGCCTACATGCCTGATGTGATCATTGACATATCTGTTATTATTATAAAAGAGAGGATAAGGATGTGATGGGTAGGAAAGGTGGATTTAGCGCCGGGAAGGGGGGGGGGGGAACCAACTGAAGGGAAGAGGGGGTTGGGTGAGAACTGGAAAGTGTTAGTACTCTTATTTACTGATTATGCCCCTTATAGCATTGTTAGTATTGATTTTGTCTTCTACAAAAGCTGTCTTCTTGTCTCGACTCTTCTATATCTATGGTTGGTTGGTTTCTAGGTATCTCTTGATTGAAGACCAGTCGGACTTTTTGTTTATCCCAGATTATATGGCAGTGGGGATTCATATAATCCAGTTTAAATAGATAATCAATGATCAGATCCTGGGATATAAGGCAATATAGAAGGGACCTCAGTTGCTGCTCATGCTGAAACAAGATAGAAATCTTTGTATTTTCTCAAGAGCAGTCAAGGTAAATACTAAAATAAACCGCTGGGAGAGATCATTCGGAGTTTCGGACTGAGATGTTATCTCTACGCAGATGATGTCCAGATCTGTCACTCCTTTTCACCTGTCACCAAGGAGACTGTCCAGACCTTGAATCAGTGTCTGGCTGCTGTGTAGGACTGGATGAGAGCTAACAAATTGAAATTGAATCCAGTCAAGAAAGAGGTCCTACTAGTCAGTCGTAAGGCCGAACAGGGTATAGGGTTACAGCCTGTGCTGGACGGGGTTACACTCCCCCTGAAGACGCAGGTCCGCAGCTTGGGAATGATCCTGGACTCATCGCTGAGCCTGGAACCCCAGGTCTCAGCGGTGGCCGGGAGAGCTTTTGCGCAATTAAAACTTGTGCACCAGTTGTGCCCGTACCTCGGGAAGTCTGATCTGGCCACGGTGGTCCATGCTCGTCACATTCCGAATAGACTACTGCAACGCGCTTTACGTGGGGTTGCCCTTGAAGACTGTTCGGAAACTTCAACTAGTCCAGCGAGCGGCAGCCAGACTGCTCACCGGAGCGACATACAGGGAGCATACCACCCCCCTGCTGTGCCAGCTCCACTGTCTGCCGATTCAGTTCCGAGCACAATTCAGGGTGCTGGTTTTGACCTACAAAACCCTGTACGGTTCCGGTCCAGTGTATCTGTCCGAACGTATCTCCCTCTACGTCCCACCCCGGACTCTGAGATCATCTGGGGAGGCCCTGCTCTCGACCCCACCACTCTCACAAGTGAGGCTGGTGGGGACGAGGAGCAGGGCTTTCTCAGTGGTGGCTCTTCACCTGTGGAACTCACTCCCGGGGAAAATCAGGGCATCACCATCCCTCCTCGCCTTCAGGAGGGTGAAGACGTGGTTATGGGACCAGGCCTTCGGGCACTCTGGCAATTAAATCAGACAGTCAGGCGAGTAAGACCAGCAGGATTGATGAAGTGGAACGCAAAACTAGATCTATGAGTTAGCGAACGCTGACCATGTAAAAGGAGAAATTGGGTTTGTATGGGTTTTTATTGATTTTATCGTAATAATGCATGAATTTTTGTTAACTGTGATCTGATGTAATTTTGTGTATGATTGTTTTATGATGCAGGCATCGAATGGTGCCTTTGCTTTTGTAAGCCGCCCTGAGTCCCCTTCGGGGTAAGAAGGGCAGGGTAAAAGAACCCCAAATAAACCTTTATGAATATAGCAGTTAAGTCAACTATGGGAAGAGAACTACAATAGCTATCCACTGAAATCTGAGGGCCTTCTCAGTGGTGGCCCCCCGGCTGTAGAACACCCTCCCTGTAGACATCAGACAGGCGCCCTCCCTTATGACATTCCGCAAGAGACTAAAGACGTGGTTGTTTGAGAAGGCGTTTGACTAAGTGCTACAACAATTGGCAATGATGACTGGAACGGAACATGGATAACGAGATCGGATTGTGATTCTACGATGAGACGTCGCGAATGATTTAGTGTAATTGTATTATTGACAGTGATGTTGTTATTGTTTGTGATAGTGCCTATATTGTAATTTGTTTTTTATGTTGTACACCGCCGTGAGTCACCCTAGGGCTGAGAACGGCGGTCTACAAGTGCATTAAATAAAAAAAATTAAAAAAATAAACTGCTGATGGTCAAATTTACTCCTTGGTCTTTAATTTTCAATCCCTAATATAGTTTTTTGTAGCTAATCAATCTGGAACTGGGCGGAAGTGATCTAAGCATCTGATTTTCATCAATTTTGGATGCCCCCAAGCATTCTCTGTTGTATATGTTCAAGTGAATCTCAGGAGCAGGGGAGGAGCACCATGCCCCTAGTGATGTTTATCTCAGCCAGAGGGATAAATTTTGGACGGGCAGGGGGTATCTCTGGTAGGAGAAAGACAGGACAGATACTGGTAGTCGAAATCCATTCTGTGTCTTGATCCTCCTCTCATCCTTTAAAATTCAGGGTGCCTTATCAGTTTGTCCTTGCAAGGTTGGACTGTATTAAAGAACCACCATCCATCATTTAATTGTGGATCAACTAGCCAACTATCTCAGAGGCTTGGTTGGATGGGTCTGGAGGAGTTTCAACTCACAGCTTTGTCCACCCAAATACCCAGTGCAGCAGCAATCTAAGTTCAATTTAAAGTGGTCAGGTATTGGACAGTTGATGTTCAATATTGGTATTTTTATCCGCACTTCTTTAATGGGTTTTAAACTATGGGCAACAGCTACAATGTAGGAAGAAACCAATTTTCAACCCCAAAACTTCCCCACAGGTATCATCCACGCACTGTTTCTGGTCATCATTCTGGGTAGTAACTGGCAACAAAAAATGAGGCACTGGGAAAGTGAAGTGGCAGTGTATTCATACAATTTGGGATGTTACATACAACCTCTGTGCAAAATATAAATCAGAAATTACGTATTTAAAATGTGAAGGTTACAGGGGAGTGCCCTTGAGTGCCAAGGAGGGAGGGAGATGGGATGCTTTCAGTTATTGAATTTGATCATATTTTTCATTTCTTGCAGATGGAAACATTCTCAAGTTTGGGACACTTGTCAGCACTTCAAACACATATGACGGCTCTGGGGTAGTGACCATTGAAACCGACAAGCCTTTGCTTTGGACAATGGGCATCCAAGAAAAAGAAAGTGCTTAAGAGGTTACCACTGCTACTTTTGTTCAGAGCCTTAAACTGAAATCTCCCGCAGGCCTTCAACTAATAATGCAAATAGAATTGTGTGACTGACCTTACAAGATCATTGTACATTTTGTCATGAATTTTACACACTTGTCTTAGTTTGCCACATCAGCTACAGGCATTTTAAGAAATCTCTTCTTGTGGGAACAATTTTGTATTTTTTAAAAATGTGTTTGATTGAATATATACATGTGAAGTTGCTTTTTAAGGTTTTGAAGGGGAAAGCTTATAAGCCAAAATAGATTTTACTAATACACTATGCCTTCAATAAATGTAACGTGATTTGCCACTAGCCTAGAAATAAATAGGACCTTCCTGAGACCCTTTCCACAAGTTACAATACCAGTAGAACTATGCATATATCCTCCACTGTACACATATATTTATATGTGTGTTTGCACACATACTAGCAAGTAGTGCAAGAAGGAAGACTGGGATGTACCTTCTGTAGTTTATGTGCATACACATACACAGTCAGGGCGCAAGAGACTTCCACTCCCATAAAGCTATGGTGTGTGACTCTTTACTCCTAAACGCTGCTACTACAGTTCTTTCCATCTCTTATCCATTGCCAGACTTTATGTCATTATGATGTAGAGGAAATGTACAGCACGCAAAATGCTCTTTCAGTGCAAGCAGAGATCAAGCTCTTGTGCTTGAATGAAAAGGTAAAGAGAAAACAAAGGAAGGCATGCCTCCTATTTCAAATATCCATATGGGAAACTTTGAAATTACTTGTAAATGAGGTTGTCAGCATAACACATGACAATGTGTATGTCAATGAGAAAATAATTGGTCTAGTGCAAATCCCATTAAATTGTCAATGTATACATTATGTATAAGTTTTTTAACTTGTCTAGTGTGGGATTGTTAGCCGCCTTAAGTCCCCACAGGGAGAAAGGTGGACGTAAATAATAATAATAATAATAATAATAATAAGCGCCCCTTTGCTTAAATCTGTATGGACCACTGTAACACATTTTTAGATACTGCTTATCATACTTGCTAAAGTTGTAACTGTGTTTTTAAAAAGGGAATATAACCTAATGTCATGTGTTATGCTAATTCATTTTTTTAAATGTTAATGTTGCTTTTGTTATGGACAACATATGGAAGAGCAAAGAACTCAGTCTGTTTGAAATTTTAAGTCAAACATCAGAAAAGAAATGAAAGTCAGATCAGTTCAGTAGTTAACATAACTAAGATGGTACACAAAACTTCTGATGTCTAAGCTTATGTATTCCAGTAAAACACTCAGAATATTTGAACTCTGATGATTCCCTGAAGAAATGGGACACTGCAGCAGACATCACTGGTCCTTACGTCAAGATTTACACCAGATATCCCTCCCCCCAATGCTTTGTACTACAATTTGTACAAAAAAGAATAAGAGATCACAGAATGTATCAAGATGTGCTTGTATTAACTAAACAGAATGCCGCAACAGTTGTTCTTTAAAAACTGGTTTATACTGACAAACAATAAAAGATGATTTAAAGCCAGAAAGCTTCTCGTGTGATGACATATCCAATACTAAGACTCCGTGAAGGATTCAGCCACCCCTGCAAAAAAAAAAAAAAAGGGGGGGGGAGAGAGTCACTATCAGTTTGGTGTTCTGGAATGCGATACTGTTATGCAATTGTCTTTTACTCAAGAGCCAATGTTGTCATCATTCAGAACACAGCAGGAGACTTGCTTCAATGGCTGGTTTGCTTAAATCAACACCTTTTACATCAGCTAGAAGTACAGACTTAGATCAGGTTTCCAACTGACACTTTAATTTTATTTTTATTTTACAAAAAGATGAAAGTTTGACCCTAGTGAACCACATTAGCTTATAAGAATACTATTTAACTGTTCCATTCCTACAATCACTCTTTGTATCTTTGGCCCCATCCACAAAGGCACTACAATCTGATTGGAAGCTGTGTAAAGTTCAAGGTGTCTACAAGACATACACCCCCTGCATCCAGCTGACTCTCTCTCTATATATATATATATAGAGAGAGAGAGAGAGAGGATTCTCTGGTTTCTGTTTTTTTAAAAAAAAAAACTGCATTGCCTCAGAGAAAAAGAATAAGCCCCCTGCAAGCAGCATGGTTGGTGGGAGAGCGCCCACCACTGCAACGGCCTTTGCCCGGTAAATCAGGCAAGGCAATTCTGATTTTAAAATCACAAAATGTATAAAAATAAAATATTAATTCTAACACTAAGATAATATTATAAATCATAAAAATTATGATTTCCAGTAAATAGGATTGTAAATACTGTGTGTATATGTGTGTGTATACATACACAGGCATGGCACCCTGAGTTCCCTTGTGAGGAAAAGGCCAGGATAGAAATGTATGTATTAATAATATATATTGATAGTCCCTACTTTGCAGATTTTCACTTATCGCGGGTGGTCCTGGAACATAGCACCCGCAATAAGTGAGGGAACACTGTAATTACGGTCTGTCTGGCTGCAGTGGCATTGTCAGATTTTTTTCTGGTCTCTCCTCTATTCTTTGCACCAGAATACTTGTGGGAGCAGTTCAATGGTATGCCTGGGAGGTGTTGAATGGCTAGCTTTCACATAGTTTTGTGCATAGAAACACCACATATTGCCACACAAAATTTCAACTATTGAATATGGATTCTATCAGACAGAATCAAGGTAGCTCTTTGGTTTATTTTAAGAGTATCTGTATAAAGTATAAATTTCTCAGATATTTATTTATTTATTTACATTATTTCTATCCCGTCCATTTCAGCCCGAAGGCAATTCTGGGCGGTATACACAGTCGGCACAATTCGATGCCAAAACAAAATACATACATTGATAAAGCAAAAACATTAAGTGCAATTAAACATAAACGACAGTGCATAATAACAATTTAAAAAGAGACTATGTCCTCTGTTCAAATCTTCATCCATTACATTGTCTTGGCCGTTCCAGGGTCAATTTCCAACTCTAGTTTGTCTGTTTACTCCGGGATATGAGGATGGGATGGTTTTCCAGATCTACAGAGAAGCCATACCATCATCTAGCACAGTGTTTCTCTACCTGGGGGTCAAGACTCCTAACGGGGTCATGAGGGAGTTTCAGAGGGATTACCAAAGACCACCAGAAAACACATCTTTCTGATGGTGTTAGGAACCCTTTTGGCAGAAAAGGCTGAAGATCTCTCTGCCTGTCCTTCTCTTCCTATTCGGTGTTAGTGAACTACAACTTCCAGAATTCAAAAAATCCCCAGCCCCACCACTATTCAATGTTGGCCATATAGGTAATGTGCCAAGTTTGGTGCAGATCCATTGTGAGCTGGGTTCTGAGTGCTCTTTGATTGTAGGTTAACTATAAATCCCAGAAACTCCAACTACCAAATATCAAGGTCTATTTTCCCCAAACTCCACCACTGTTCACATCTGGGAATATTGAGTATTTGTGCCAAATTTGGTCCAGATCCATTATTGTTTGAGTCCAAAGTGTTCTCTGGATGTAGATGAACTACAACTCCAAAACTCAAGACCAATGCCCACCAAACCCTTTCAGTATTTTCTGTTGGTCATGGGAGTTCTGTGTGCCAAGATTGGTTCAATTCCATCATTGGTGGAGTTCAGAATGCTCTTTGATTGTAGGTTAACTATAAATCCCAGCAACTATAACTCCCAAAATGACAAAATCAATCTCACCCCAACCTGACCAGTATTCAAATTTGGGCGTATTAGGTATTTGTGCCAAATTTGGTCCAGTGAATGAAAATACTGCCTGCATATCAGATATTTACATTACAATTCACAACAGTAGCAAAATATTAGTTATGAAGTAGCAACAAAAATAATGTTATGGTTGGGGGTCACCACAACATGAGGAACTGTACTAAGGGATTGCGGCATTAGGAAGGTTGAGAACCACTGGTCTAGCAGAACTCATTGAAACAAATCATAGGATAGTTTGCACACATCATTCTACCACCTATATCTATTTTACTATTGTTACTTACACAATGATGTTGTTGATTGGAATGTGGATTAGTTTTACAAAGAATCCAATAAATCCCATTATCGCAAAACCTATTGCTGTAGCCATGGCAATCTTCTGGAATTCTGGAATTAAGTAAATAAATAACTTGTCAAAGCAGAAATGATTTGAACATTGCAGCTGAAAATCATTTTATATCCAAATTGGGTTTCACCAATACAATCAGATTCCTCTTCATCTGTATCCAAAATATATTCTTAAATGATTGGATTGCAACCAAGGCATAATATTGGATTTTTTAAAGAGAAGTAGAGAGCTAGCACCTGCCTAACTGAAGCAAGAAATCTATTATGGAAAGGGGAAGAAATCAGGACTGTTTTAACTAGTGTTTCCTCATGTCTAGTCATCCAAAGCTGGTGTGAAATTGGCTGACAGGCATATAGCAAAATATACATAATCCTTCCACATGTCTTGAGAGTGAGGAGAATCTGGACTTCTCAATCACTGAATGGATCTGTGTGTACACTGGCTCCTTTTGAAAAAATGCTGAACTCGGGGAAAGGGGCAGAAATGATTCCCTCTACATCTGGGGCATATGTGCAGTTTTAAGTGGTCATTATATTTTCCCTGCTCCACCATTTTTTTAAAAATCCTATCAATTGACTTCAGTCACAAATATTTAGATTATTTGTTAGTATGGCTATAACTGTTTCCTCATGGGCACCACAATTCGAGATATTGACAAGCTGGAATGTGTCCAGAGGAGGGCGACTAAAATGATCAAGGGTCTGGAGAACAAGCCCTATGAGGAGCGGCTTAAGGAGCTGGGCATGTTTAGCCTGAAGAAGAGAAGGCTGAGAGGAGAATGATAGCCATGTATAAATATGTGAGAGGAAGCCACAGGAGGAAGGAGCAAGCTTGTTTTCTGCTTCCTTGGAGACTAGGACGCAATGGAACAATGGCTTCAAACTACAAGAGAGGAGATTCCATCTGAACATGAGGAAGAACTTCCTGACTGTGAGAGCCGTTCAGCAGTGGAACTCTCTGCCCTGGAGTGTGATGGAGGCTCCTTCTTTGGAAGCTTTTAAACAGAGGCTGGATGGCCATCTGTCAGGGGTGATTTGAATGCAATATTCCTGCTTCTTGGCAGAATGGGGTTGGACTGGATGGCCCATGAGGTCTCTTCCAACTCTTTGATTCTATGATTCTACATACATATATCAATACAATACGCCCTTAATATCTGCTGGGGTTTGATTCCAGGAGCCCCAGAGTATACTATAATCTCAGGATGTTCAAGTTCCATTATCTACAATAATATTGTAAAATAGAAAAATTAAGATTTGCTTTTCTGAAGTTTTTTTTTCTTTTTGAAATTTTGAAATCTGTGGATACAGAACCAATAGATACAAAGGGCTGAACATCCTTAACCCTAAAGTGGAGCTTTCCAAACGTTTCATATTGGCAACACACTTTTTAGACATGCATCATTTCGTAACACTGTAATTCAGTTTTACCTACAAATCGGAAGTTAAACCAACCTCTTATAAGAGGTTCAGAAACATACATAAAATGTAATAATGAAATGTATGGCGACAACATATCTCATGGAAATCTTTCATTTATATTTTTCAAAATATATAATTGATTGCTTATTCTACACACTCTGAGGTTTCTCACTACATTTGCGTGACACATGTACACACTGCAACTGTCACACCGAACTGCCATGCATGACACACAGTTTAAAAAGCTCTTCACTAAAGGATGTTGTGATGGTGATGTCTCTACCCATGGGCTGCTCCAGTCTCACAAGTCATCATAGCCACTAACAAATCTATTATTATGTACTGGGGCAATGCACTGATATGTTGTTCAATATATCACACTCCGAGCACTTCTCTGCTGGATCAACCCTGTCGCCAATTAAACATCTGAGTTCATTACAACCTTTCACTTCTAAACTACTAAAGAACCTAATCTTGGTTGCAGCACAATCCTTGCCCTCCTCCAAAACCTTTGAGCTTCATTAGGGGAGAGGAGATGCAGACACATAATACTCAGAAAATCTTGTTGTGTTTCCTGTTTCTTCAAGGTTCAGTACAAAATGAAGGAAGACACCTACTCTTATTAAAAACCTACAAAACCCTATACAGCTCCGGCCCAGCGTACCTGTCCGAACGTATCTCCTTCTATGTCCCACCTGAGTTTAAGATCTTCTGGGGAGGCCCTGCTCTCGGCCCCATCTTTATCACAAGTGAGACTGGTGGGGACGAGGGACAGGACCTTCTCAGTGGTGGCCCCTCGCCTGTGGAATTCACTCCCTGGGGAAATTAGGTCATCGACACCCCTCCTTTCCTTCAGAAGGAAGTTGAAACATGGATATGGGACCAGGCCTTTGGGTAAACTGGCAGACTGACAAGGTAACGACGACCAGAGTTTGGAAAGGATTATGATAATGCTGAATGGACTTATGGATTTTTAGAACCCGGTGAATGTTAGCCACTAGTTTGGCTTTTCTTTTAGTTGTTATTGTATTAATTGATTGTTTTAACTATTTGTGATTACTGCTATGTATTTTATTTGTTGAATTGTTGGCATCGAATTGTTAAAGTTCAGGAATAATTAAAGTTCAGGAAAATGGATATTTATCTTTGTTCAAAATATGCACTCACGATAATTACTAGCAGGCCCATTCCTAAATAGTCTATATGAACAAACCCCCATCTGAATTCTTTCCCTGATCAGGTAGAAACTCACTCTTAGAAAAGTAAATTCAACAAAACATACATTCCATTCATGTATGTTTTATTGAATTTTAAAAATGCTACCTTCACAGTATGAATCTGCTTTTGAGGAAAGTACTGAATAGCCTTCCTTACAAAATAAAACTATATTCATTACAAAAACAAAAAATGCACACATTACTTTCTACGGAAACAGATAGTTTCTTCAGCTTTCTTATAGATTACCTTTCCTATCTGGCTTTGTGCATCTTTTAACAAGTCTGATGGAGTCTTTCACAAACTGGCGGCTGGGTTCCACAAACTGCATTACTTGATCCATGGCGAACTGTAGGGAGGAAAATATATCTGCTTGCAAACATATTCTACACATATTCCAAATCAGCTTATAAAATATCTTTGACAGAAATAAAATTAATTTTTAAGGAGAAGTAACAACTTTGTAACTTTAATACGTTTATAAAAAAAAACACCCAATATTCATGTTTAAATACAAACGGGGAAAGGTGGTTAACATGAGAAACTCTTCCACATTAGCAAAGTCTACATTTCACAACTCTGTTATATTAGTATACATTGCTTTGTAGGAGAGCTGAAGGCATTTTGGTTAATAGTCATACCACCTTCTAAAATGTTTGTGCTCATCATAGAAAAATGCTGAAATTATGTTTGGTGAGGATTCATAAACCCCTTCTACACTGCCATATAAAAATTCAGATTATCTGCTTTTAACTGGATTATTTGGCAGTGCAGACTCAGGCCGCTTCCACACTGCCCTATAACCCAGGATCTGATCCCATATTATCTGCTTTAAACTGGATTATAGGAGTCTCCATGGCCAGATAATCTGGGATCAGATCATGGGTTATAGGGGCAGTGTGGAAGGGGCTTCATATAATCCGGTTCAAAGCAGAAAAAGTGAATTATCTGATTTGATAATCTGGATTATCTGCTTTGAACTGGATTATAAGAGTCTACACTGCCATATAATCCAGTTCATAGCAGATAATCTGGATTTTATATAACAGTGTCAAAGGGGCCATGGGGCTTCAATATATTTTAAATAATTTTGACCATGTGGGGTTTTTTTAACAATTACGTTTTCTTAACTTTTGTAAATCAAAACTTCAGGTAAATTTGTATTTTACATATAGCCCCTTCTACACAGCTGTATAAAATCCAGATTATATGCCTTGATTTTCTGGATTATATGGCCGTGTATGGCCTATATTATTGAAAAACACTTTGGGCAACAAGACAGGAAAATGATATGGTATAACCTGAATAGATAGATAAATGAATAGGACTATGGCTAATGAAACCATATGGCAAGTAGGCAATTCAGGAGATTACCACATCAGCACATTGGCTGGGAAGATGTGATCCCCTCCATGTTCTTTGCCTATGTGCAGTTCCCATCAAGCTTAGGTCCTTTCCACACAGCTGTAAAAATCTACATTGAACTGGAATATATAGTAGTGTGGACTCAGATAACCCAGTTCAAGTAAGATAGATATTGTGGTATTTTCTGCCTTGATATTCAGGGTTATACGGCTGTGTGGAAGGATCCATCGATGAGGGATGATGAGTACTGTAGCCAGTCAATATCCAGAGGGCCATACACTTCCAATTCTTGTCTTTAAAAGTACATCAAATCCCATTTCTTTTAACTTATGACACAGAATATATGCTACAAGAGGTACAAAGCATGTATGTATAAAGCATCGCAAACTTGGTCCAATCTTGGTGTTTCTGCTTTTCAATACCTCAGGCCCCATGTGGTGGGATTTCCTTCCTTGATATTCTAGGATATAGGGCCATGTGGAAGGGCCCCGAGTGTGGACTCAGATAACCCAGTTCAAAGCAGATATTGTGGGATTTTCTACCTTGACATTCTGAGATATAGGGCTGTGTGGAAGGGCCCTGAGTGTGGATTCAGATAACCCAGTTCAAAGCAGAAATTGTGGGATCTTCTGCCTTGATATTCTGGGATATAGGGCTGTGTGGAAGGCCCTGAGTGTGGACTCAGATAACCCAGTTCAAAGCAGACATTGTAGGATTTTCTACCTTGATATTCTGGGATATAGGGCTGTGTGGAAGGGCCCTCACAATATCTGCTTTGAACTGGGTTATCTGAGTCTACACCACCATATATTCCAGTTCAAAGCAGATATTGTGGGATTTTCTGCCTTGATATTCTGGGATATAGGGCTGTGTGGAAGGGCCCTGAGTGTGGACTCAGATAACCCAGTTCCAAGCAGATATTGTGGGATTTCCTGCCTTGATATTCTGGGATATAGAACTGTGTGGAAGGGCCCTGAGTGTGGACTCAGATAACCCAGTTCAAAGCAGATATTGTGAGATTTTCTGCCTTGATCTTCTGAGATACAGGGCTGTGTGGAAGGGCCCTGAGTGTGGACTCGGATAACCCAGTTCAAAGCAAATATTGTGAGATTTTCTTCCTAGATATTCTGGGATATAGAACTGTGTGGAAGGGCCCTGAGTGTGGACTCAGATAACCCAGTTCAAAGCAGACATTGTGGGATCTTCTGCCTTGATATTCTGGGATATAGGGCTGTGTTGAAGGGCCCTAAGTGTGGACTCAGATAAATCAGTTCAAAGCAGATATTCTGGGATTTTCTTCCTTGATATTCTGAGATATAGGGCTGTGTGGAAGAGCCCTGAGTGTGGACTCGGATAACCCAGTTCAAAGCAAATATTGTGGGATTTTCTGCCTTGATATTCTGGGATATAGGGCTGTGTGGAAGGGCCCTGAGTGTGGACTCGGATAACCCAGTTCAAAGCAGGTATTGTGGGATCTTCTGCCTTGATGTTCTAGAACAGGGGTCCTCAAACCATGGCCCGGGGGCCAGATGCGGCCCTCCAAGGTCATTTACTCGGCCTTTGCTCAGGGTCAACCTAGGTCTGAAATGACTTGAAAGCACACAACAACATCAACAATCCTATCTCATCAGCCAAAAGTAGGCCCACACTTCCCACTCAAATACTAATAAGTTTATATTTGTTGAAATTGTTCTTCATTTTAATTATTGTGTTGTTTTTAAGTGTTTTTTGCACTACAAAGGAGATATGTGCAGGGTGCATAGGAATTCATTCATGTTTTTTTTCAAATTTGAGGGACTGTGACTTGGCCCTCTGTTTAAAAGGTTTGAGGACCTCTGCTCTAGGATATGGGGCTGTGTGTAAGGCCATGAGTGTGGAGTCAGATAACCCAGTTCAAAGCAGATATTCTGGGATTTCCTTCCTTGATATTCTGAGATATAGGGCTGTGTGGAAGGGCCCTGAGTGTGGACTCAGATAACCCAGTTCAAAGCAAATATTGTGGGATTTTCTGCCTTGATATTCTGGGATAAGGGCTGTGTGGAAGGGCCCTGAGTGTGGACTCGTTAACCCAGTTCAAAGCAGACATTGTGGGATCTTCTGCCTTGATATTCTGGGATAAGGGCTGTGTGGAAGGGCCCTGAGTGTGGACTCGGATAACCCAGTTCAAAGCAGATATTCTGGGTTATAGGGCTGTGTAGATGGGCCCTCACAATATCTGCTTTGAACTGGGTTATCTGAGTCTACACCGCCATATATTCCAGTTCAAAGCAGATATTGCGAGATTTTCTTCCTAGATATTCTGGGATATAGAACTGTGTGGAAGGGCCCTGAGTGTGGACTCAGATAACCCAGTTCAAAGCAGACATTGTGAGATTTTCTACCTTGATATTCTGGGATATAGGGCTGCATGGAAAGGCTGTGTGGAAGGGGCCTCTGTGCCTTGTTTAAAGAGCTCTGCTTCCAGATCAGCGACTAAACAAATCCCTTCCTTTGCAGATCCACATAAGGAGGCCTTTTCCCTGCTCAGGGTGGCACCAAACTGGGCCTTTCAAGGTGTTGACTGAAACGTGAGTGTCTCTTCCCTTTTGCCAGAGTTGCTCCTGTTTCCTTCTATTTGGCAACCTCAATTCCAAACAACCAAGGGACACCAGAGGAAGTTTCCTGTCTTTTCATGACAGAATTGGGGGAAAGAAAGACAAAAGGGCGCCGCCTCACCTTCCTTCCGACTTTCTCCGCGACGCTCTGACTCCTCAACGACCAGCGAAGGCTTTCAGAAAGACACGTAGCAACTTCTCCGAGCGACGAGGGAACCGGAACCGGAAAGAGAGGGCAATTCAGAGACGCGCGTGCGCCTCAAGAGCAAGCTGGCTGCCAAAGGGGGCGGAGCCTCCAGACTTAAAGGCGCAGTCTCCTTTTTCCACAAGACACATGGAGGAGGAAGGCCCAAATGCAGAAATATCCACACCAAAGCGTGCTTTTCAGCTGTTCTCTTCATTTTAGATGGAAGAACGTGTGAGCCCGTCTTGCGCTTTAGGAAACCAGGATTCAAGCCACCATTTTGGTCCCAGAAGCCTCCAGAGTGCATTCTCATGAGCTCTGCGAATGAAGCAGAGAGTGTTTGAGGACCAAGACATCCGTAGGAATACCAAAATGCTTGTCTATAAAGCTATTGTCCTCCCAACCCTGCTCTATGCCTGAGAAATGTGGACTATCTATAGACGTCACATGCAACTCTTGGAACGATTCCATCAGCGCTGCCTCCGGAAAATCCTGCAAATCTCCTGGGAAGACAAGCAGACAAACGTCAGCATGCTGGAAGAAGCAAAGACCACCAGCATTGAAGTGATGCTCCTCTGCCATCAACTCCGCTTGGCCGGCCACATTGTCCGGATGCCCGACCACCGTCTCCCAAAGCAGTTGTTCTACTCTGAACTTAAGAACGGAAAACAGAATGTTGGTGGGCAGAAAAAGAGATTTAAAGATGGCCTCAAAGCCAACCTTAAAATCTCTGGCATAGACACTGAGAACTGGGAAGCCCTGGCCCTTGAGCGCTCCAGCTGGAGGTCAGCTGTGACCAGCAGTGCTACAGAATTCGAGGAGGCACGAGTGGAGGGTGAAAGAGAGAAACGTGTCAGGAGGAAGGCGCGCCAAGCCAACCCCGACCGGGACCGCCTTCCACCTGGAAACCAATGCCCTCACTGTGGGAGAAGATGCGGGTCAAGAATAGGGCTCCACAGCCACCTACGAACCCACAAGGAAACGCATAATGGAAGACCATCTTACTCGTCCAACGAGGGATCGCCTAAGTAAGTAAGTCTCAACCTCAGAGAATCATAGAATCAAAGAGTTGGAAGAGACCTCATGGCCATCCAGTCCAACCCCCTGCCAAGAAGCACGAATATTGCATTCAAATCACCCCTGACAGATGGCCATCCAGCCTCTGTTTAAAAGCTTCCATAGAAGGAGCCTCCACCATACTCAGGGGCAGAGAGTTCCACTGCTGAACGGCTCTCACAGTCAGGAAGCTCTTCCTCATGTTCAGATGGAATCTCCTCTCTTATGGTTTGAAGCCATTGTTTCAAGGTAAGCAGAAAACAAGCTTGCTCCCTCCTCCCTGTGGCTTCCTCTCACATATTTATACATGGCTATCATATCTCCTCTCTGGTTGCTTCTGGATCCTCCATCTCTGAAGCCAAGAAAGAACAGTGGATCAAGCTGATCACAGAGGCCGACATGGGCAGGAGCAGCCAGAAGGCGTGGAGGTTGCTAAGATGGCTGAGCAATGACCCCTCACAAACTAATACCCATGCCAACATAAAGGCAGATCAGATAGCACACCAACTCTTGAAGAACGGGAAACCCAACCGTGCCACCAAAGTAGGAAAGAAACCATTAGCCAGACAACAAGAGAATGAGAGCAACAACCTTCATGAACCCTTTACATCTACTGAATTGGACATGGCTCTCAACAAATGTAAGAATGGCAAAGCAGCTGGCCTGGATGATCTACGGATGGAACAAATCAAGAACTTTGGTCCAAAAGCAAGGCGCTGGCTGCTGGAGCTGATGAACAACTGCACTGCATCCTGTCATCGCCATCTTGAAGCCAGGCAAAGACCGTAATGACCCAAAAAGCTACAGACCAATCTCCCTGTTGTGCCACCTCTACAAAGTTCTGGAGAGACTTATTTTGCATAGAATTATGGAAAAAATAGACCCATGTCTGATTCCACAACAAGCTGGCTTCAGGAAAGGCAAAAGCTGCACATCGCAAGTGCTGAACCTGACTCAGCACATAGAAGATGGCTTTGAAAGGCAGCAGATCACAGGAGCTGTCTTCATAGATCTGTCAGCAGCCTATGATACTGTGAACCACCGCCTCCTCCTGAGAAAAATGTACAATATCACAAAGGACTACCACCTCACCCGCCTCATAGGAAACCTGCTACAAAACAGGAGCTTCTTTGTTGAGTCCCAGAGCCAGAGAAGCAGATGGCGGAAACAGAAGAACGGCCTGCCTCAGGGGAGTGTGCTTGCTCCATCCATGTTCAACATCTACACAAATGACCAGCCACTGCCAGAAGGGACAGAGAGTTTCATCTATGCTGATGATCGTGCCATCACTGCTCAAGCAGGGAGCTTTGAGATGGTTGAACAGAAGCTCTCCGAAGCTCTAGGTGCTCTTACTGCCTATTACAGGGAAACCCAGCTGATCCCCAACCCAGCTAAAACACAGACATGTGCCTTTCATCTCAAGAACAGAGAAGCATCCCGAGCTCTGAAGATCACCTGGGAAGGAACCCCACTGGAGCATTGCAGCACACCCAAATACCTGGGAGTCACTCTGGACCGTGCTCTTACCTACAAGAAGCATTGCCTGAACATCAAGCAAAAAGTGGGTGCTAGAAACAATATCATACGAAAGCTGACTGGCACAACCTGGGGATCACAACCAGATACAGTGAAGACATCTGCCCTTGCGCTATTTCTACTCTGCTGCTGAGTATGCATGCCCAGTGTGGAACACATCTCACCACACGAAAACAGTGATACATGGCTATCCTAGCTCAAGATCCTGGAAGGAAGACTCCAGCAATACATGGAGCGAGAGTTGCCAGATGTTCAAGCTGGGTTTAGAAAAGGCAGAGGAACGAGAGACTAAATGGTCAATACCCACTGGATAATGGAGAAAGGCAGGGAGTTTCAGAAAAACATCTATTTCTGTTTTATTGACTATTCTAAAGCCATTGACCGTGTGGATCATAATAAATTGTGGCAAGTTCTTGGATGGAATATTTCAACTATCTCTTCACAGCCATTTCTGTAAAGATACAAAAAAGTAACATTTCCTGTACTCACTTCATTTAAATTTATTTTATGTATTATTTATTTATTGCACTTCTACCCCGCCCTTCTCAACCCCCGAGGGGGGACTCGGGGCGGCTTACAAAAGGCACAATTCGATGCCGGCACAACAACAAGGTAAAAATAAACATATGTAAAGAGTAATTAAAACAATTAAAACAGTCCATTATACATCACACATCAAAATCTATAAAACCAATCTAATGCTCTACGTTTGCCAACTCAGAGTTCATAAATTCAATTCCACACTGTCAAGTCCATCAGTTGTCGTCACTAGTCCTTTGTCTGTCTGCCAGATTACCCAAAAGCCTGGTCCCAAATCCATGTTTTTAATTTCCTTCTAAATGAGAGGAGGGATGTTGATGACCTAATTTCCCCGGGGAGCGAATTCCACAGGTGAGGGGCCACCACTGAGAAGGCCCTGCTCCTCGTCCTCACCAACCTCACTTGTGATAGAGGTGGGGCCGAGAGCAGGGCCTCCCCAGAAGATCGTAGACTCAGAGGCGGGACGTAGAAAGAGATACGTTGGGACAGATACACATAAGAGTAATTCGTGTGAGAGTTTGTTGGTAATGCATCAAGTACATGCTTCAGAATTCCAATGATGATGAAAACAGTGACATCACAAACTCATCCTTTGTTGTTGGGGGTCTCAGCCTGCCATTTGCTCCATTAAGCAGTAATATTAGTAGTAATGTAGAAGTGCAACCATGGCAGAGAGGAATTATGAGGGCCATCTTTCATCAGGCCACTCATTAGTGTAACAACTAAATCCTCTCTTATGTTAATTTCTTTACATCTTCTCTCCCTTTAAGGCCAAACCATTTCCTGCATCAGTTCAATATTTTTCTTCACCATGGAACCAAAAGAAGTTCACAGTGGTATGCCAAAGAGGGTCACGTCTGGACTCACTTCTGCAAAATCCGAAGATGGACTCTTCCTTCGAGAATCATTAGAAAACATAAATACTTCCTTATTGCATACTCTGAACAACATATGTGTAGGTGAAGCTGGTGATAAGTTTTTGGAAGAGCCATGCAAAGGCAACAGTTTGGAGACCTGCAGTGAGAACGCAACAGGAAAATATCAAAAAGACATTCAGGAAGTTGGATACAAAAGCCTGCAAGTTAACGATGAGATGAAGGATCAAATCAATGAAAAGAACAAGGAAGCCTTTAAAGCTCTTTCTAAGGGCGAACATCAGAAAGCAGTTGAGCTGTTCACAGAAGCTATTGAGCTGAATCGATATATTCCCAGTTCCTATGTTAACCGTGCCCATGTCTTTATGCAGTTGCAGGATCCAGTTTCTACCATTAAAGACTGTGATGTAGCAATTGAGCTGAATCCCAGATCAGCAGAGCCTTTCAAATTGAGAGGGAAAGCATGCAAGAATTTGGGACATTTGAAGGAAGCAGCCTGTGACTTTGCTTTAGCATCAAAATTGGAATACGATGAAGAAGCCAATGCTGTGCTAAGAAGGCTGAAGTTAGAGTTTCAAAGAATTTCTGAGAGGCAGGCAAAGTGTGATGTAAAATATAAGGAACCATTGGTACGGGGGAGAATTAAAAGTGCCTGGCTATATTTACAAAATCAGGAAAATGTTTATAGAGAAATAGACCCTTACACAACATTGGAAAATAAAAGGGCAAATGAGAAAGAGGAGATCAAGATAGATAGTGGTGGTGACTCCCAAGACATGACTGATGGAAATGTAGGGAGAGATAACATGTGGAAGCTAGCCACTGAAAAAAAGAAGGAAGCTTTGGATGCAGTGGAGAAAGGAGAATTAGAAAGAGCCATTGAACTGTTCACCGAGGCAATCAAATTAGCTCCTCAACTTACTGATTTATACATTTGTCGAGCCAGTACTTTTCTGAAGTTGCACATGCCAAATGCTGCCATAAGAGACTGTGACCAAGCCATAAAAATTAACCCTGATACAGCATTGCCATACAAGTGGCGTGGGGGAGCTTTTTATTTGTTGGGCTACTGGGAGAAGGCTGCTAAGGATCTTACTTTGGCTTGTCAGATGGATTATGATGATGACACCTACTCTGTGCTGAAGGAGGTACAAGTAGAGGCCCAGAAAATCTGTAAAATCAAGGACAAGCTTGAAGAAAAATATAACAAGGAGGAATATAAGGAAATGATGAAAAACAAGGAGGATCAAGAGAGAATTCAAGCAAAAGTGTCCCAAGAGAAACGAGAAATGCCACAAAGTGTTTTAGAGAAACAGGGGAAAAGTACATTCAAAACATTTCAATATAATAATTCAGCAAACCACCCAAAGAGCCCCTTTTATTTTCCAGAGGGACAAAGCAAAATTTACACCATGTATGTAACAAAACAGGAAGAAGGTGAGCTTATAGATCATGAAAAGCATGACACATCTAAACTGCAGGAACTGGGGATTCAAGAGAAGACTAAGAAGAATGAAATATACATGAAGGGGTCCATGAGTGAGGACAGTGAATTAGAGATCGACACTGAAGAAATGATTGAGCCAGATGATGATGTTCCTCAAGAGATGGGAGATGAAAACTTGAAGGTTACAGAAGAAATGAGGAAGCAGGCCAATGAAAAGAAGAGGGACGCCATTGAATCAGTCAATAAAGGTGAACTTTTAAGAGCTTTAGATCTGTTCACTGAAGCTATAAAGCTCAATCCAAAATGTACAATCTTATATGCAAACCGAGCCAAGGTCTATCTGGAGCTTGAAAAGCCACATGCTGCAATTAGGGACTGTGACAGAGCCATCCAAATCAATCCTGATTCTGCACAGCCCTACAAATGGAGAGGGAGAGCACTACAGCTTCTTGGTTACTGGCAGAAGGCTACTAAAGACCTTGTGTTAGCCTGCCAGTTAGATTACGATGAAGAATCCTATGCAATGTTGAAGGAGGTACAACCCAAGGCTCAGAAAATTGCCAAATACTGGAGGAGATGGGAGAGGAAACTTCAGGATGAAAAATATGAGGTACAATTGGATAAGATTCAAAAAGTCTGTGGGGAAGAAGGAAGAACTCGGTGTAATATCCTGGAACTAGAAAGAGATTATAAGGATGCTAGGGAACACCAACAGAGATATTGGGAAGAAACCATAATGGAGCAAGAAAGCGTCAGTGAAACAGTTCTGAGAAAACAAAAAGGTATGTCTCAGGAGAAAGAACCAAAGAAAGGGAAACAATACAGATATTTGGAGAGGGAAATGGAAGAAGAAGAAAACTTTCGGCATAAATTGCTGGAAGAACAAGATAATTTTCAGGGAAATGAACTGAAAAACCAGGGAATGGTTCAGCAGAAAGAACTTGAAGAACAGCTGAGAGCTCTTCAGGAGGAGCTGGAGGAAAAGCTGAGATCTTATCAAGAACAATTGGATGAAGGTGAAAATGCTATGCAGAGATTATTAGAAGAACAAGAAAAATCACAGCGGAACGTATGGTATGAACAAGAAAGAGAATACAAAATGATCCTAGAAGAACAACAAAGAATCCAGATGTTGGTTTTGGAGGAATTGACAAGAGCCCAGCAAGAGGCTATGGAGGAACTGACAAGAGCTGAGCTAGAGGCTATAGAGGAACTGGCAAGAGCTCAAATTAAAGCCCTTGAGGAACAGGATCAAGTTCGGCAACAAACCCTGGAGGAACTGGAAAGGGCTCAGAAAGCTCTTGAAACTCTAGAAAGAGCCCATAAACAGGCTTTGGAAGAACAGAAGAGTGCTCACATAACTGCCATAGAAGAACAGGAGAAAGCTCAGAAAAAATCGCTAGAAGAAAAGAAGATGGCTGAAGCAGCTCTAGAAGAACTCTTAAAGACTCAAAAAAGGATCCAAGAAGAGCAAGAAAGGGCTGAAAAGAAAGCAAGAGAAGAAAGGGAAAGTGCTCAGAAAGCTCTGAAAAAATTAGAGATTGCTCAGAAGAAGTCTCTAGAGGAACAGGAAAGGACCCAGAAAGCTCTTGAATCTCTGGAAAGAGCCCACAAACAGGCTTTGGAAGAACAGAAGAATGCTCACATAACTGCCATAGAAGAACAGGAGAAAGCTCAGAAAAAATCACTAGAAGAAAAGAAGATGGCTGAAGCAGCTCTAGAAGAACTCTTAAAGACCCAAAGAAAGATGCAAGAAGAGCAGGAAAGGGCTGAAGAGAAAGCAAGAAAAGAAAGAGAAAGTGTTCAGAAAGCCCTAGAAGAATTAGAGATTGCTCAGAAAAAGTCTCTAGAGGAACAAGTAAGAGCCCAGAAAGCCCTGGAAGATCTTGAAAGAGCTCATAAACAGGCTTTGGAGGAACAGAAGATAGCTCAGATAGCTGCCCTAGAAGAACAGGAGCAAGCAAGGAAAAAATCTCTAGAAGAAAAGAAAATGGCTGAAGCAGCACTGGAAACACTCTTAACAGCTCAGAGAAATATTGAAAAAGAAACATTAAAGAAAATAACAGTCAATGAAAGAAAAGTGAGTCTCAAAGAATTAGAGAAGAAAGCTCTGGAGGAACAGGAAAGAGCTCAGAAAGCCCTGCAAGCTCTCGAAAGAGCCCATAAGCAAGCATTGGAGGAACAGAAGCAAGCACAAGAAATATCTCTGAAAGAAAAGAAGATGGCTGAGGAAGCCATAGAAAAACTCTCAAAGATGCAGAGAAAAATTCAAGAAGAACAGCAAACGGCTGAGAAGAAAGCAACGGAAGAAAGAGAAATACTTCAGAAAAAGATAGAACAATTACAGATGGCCCAGAAGGAAGCCTTGGAGGAACAAGAGAGAGCCCAGAAAGCTCTTAGTTCTGTGGAAAGTACTCATAAACAGGCCCTGGAGGAACTGAAGATAGCTCAGATGGCTGCTATGGAAGAACAGGAGCAAGCACAGAAGAAATCTCTAGAAGAAAAGAAGATGGCAGAGGCAGCCTTAGAAGAACTCTTAAAGGCTCAGAGAATATTCCAAGAAGAGCAACAAAGGGCTGAGAAGCAAGCAAAGGAAGAGAAGAAAGTACTTCAAAAAAGGCTAGAAGAACTCCAGATTGCTCAAAGGAAGGCTTTGGAGGAAGAAGAGAAAGCTAGGAATGAACAGGAGAGAGCTCAAAAAGCTCTTAGTTTTGTGGAAAGTGCTCATAAACAGGCTATGGAAGATCTGAAGACAGCTCAGATGGCTGCCATGGAAGAACAAGAGCAAGCACAGAAGAGATCTCTAGAAGAAAAGAAGATGGCAGAGGAAGCATTGGAAAAACTCTCAGAGGCTCAGAGAATATTCCAAGAAGAGCAACAAAGGGCTGAAAAGCAAGCAATGGAAGAAAAAGAAGTATTTCAAAAAAGGCTAGAGGAATTACAGATTGCTCAGAAGAAGGCCATGGAGGAACAGATGAAAGCTGGCAAGGCTCTGGAAGCTCTGGAAAGTGCTCGTAAACAGGCGCTAATTGAACAGGAGAAAGCTCAGAGGGCAGCCATGGAAGAACAAGAGCATGCACAGAAAAAAACTCAAGAAGAAAAGAAAATGGCTGAAGCAACCTTGGAAGAGCTCCTAAGAACTAAGAGAAAGTTCCAAGAAGAGCAGAAAAGAGCTGAGAAACAAGCAACAAAAGAAAGAGAGGCACTTCGGAAAGAAATGGAAGAGTTAGAAATTGCTCGGAAGAAAGCCTTGGAGGAACAAGAGAAAGCTCAGAAAACTCTGGATGCTCTGGGGAAAGCCCATAAACAGGCTCTAGAGGAACAGAAGAAAGCTCATTTGTCTGCAACTGAAGAACAGGAGCAAGCACAGAAAAACTTTTTACAAGAAAAGAAAATGGCTGAGGCAGCTCTGGAAGAACTCTTGAGAAAGGTCCAAGAAGAGCAAGAAACAGCTGAGAAGAAAGCAATGGAGGAACGAATGATAGCCGAGAAAACTCTAAAAGAATTAGACACTGCCCAGAAGAAGGCATTAGAAGATTTAGAAACAGCAAAGAAAAAAGCCAGGAAAGAACAGGAAAAAGCCCAGAAAGCTATTGATTCTCTGGAAAAAGCCCATAAGCAACTTCTGGAGGAACAAAAGAAAATGCAGAAAAAATCTCTGGAAGAAAAGAAAATGGCTGAAGCAGCTTTGGAAGAACTCTTAAAGACCCAGAGAAAAGTCGAAGAAGAACAGAAAAGGGCTGAAGAGAAAGCCATAGAGGAAAAAGAGAGAGCGCAAAAGGATCTGGAAAAATTAGAGGCTGCTCAGAAGAATGCTCTTGAGGAACAGGAAAAAGCTCAGAAAGCCTTTGAAGATCTAGAAAACGCTCATAAACAGTTCCTAGAGGAACAGAAGAAAGCACAGCAAAACTCTCTAAAAGAAAGGAAGATGGCTGAGGCAGCTCTAGAGTTGCTCTCAAGGACCCAGAGAAAAAACCAAGGAGAGCAGGAAAGGGCTGAAAAGAAAGCTATAAAAGAAAGGAAGATGAGTCAGAAGTCCTTGGAAGAATTAGAGATTGCTCAAAAGAAAACTCTGGAAGAGTTAGAGATAGCTCAGAAAAAGGCCATAGAAGAAAGTGACCTTGTTCAAAACCAGGCCAGAGAAGAACAAAGGAAAGCACATTTGGCTAAGGAAGAACTGGAGAGAGCACATGTCAGGGCCATAGAGGAGCAGCAGAGAGCTCACACAGCAGCTTTGGAAGAACAGCAGAAAACTAAGAAGATGCTTATTGAACTAGAGGAGACACGAAGAAAATTCTTGGAGGAACAAGAACAGGCATATATGAAGGCTCGAGAGGAACAAGTTAGAGTTCACTATGCTACACAAGAATTAGCAAAGATACAGAGAGCAGCTATGGAAGAGCAAGAGAGAGCTCGGAAGACCGCCATAGCAGAACAGCAGAAAGCTCAGATGATGATGGAACAATTGGAGGAAAAACAGAGAAAAGCTCTGGATGAACAGGAGCAAACACGGATGAAGGCCCTCGAGCAACAAAAGAAAGCTCAATGTGCTATGGAAGAACTGGCAAAGGCTCAAAAGGTAGCTCTTGAAGAACAAGAAAAGGCTCAGAAGAAAGCCATAGAAGAACAAAAGAGAGCCCAAGTGGCTATGGAAGAACTACAGAGAGTACAAAAACAGGCCTCGGAGGAAATGGAAAGGCAACAGAACAAATGTCCAGCAGAAATTCAAGAGCCTGTTCTTAAAAAGATTAATGAAGCAGGCAAAATAATACATAAAAGGAGTTCTAGTGACCCAGAAGGAACTCAAAATAAAGAGCTAAATGTAATTCATAACAATCTCTGTGTTGAGCAAGACAAGGCTACCAAAGACCTAGAACTGAAAGAGCATCCACAATGTCAGAAGAGCGCAGGGCAAGAGAAGAGTTCCGAAAGGCCATTCCTCAACACTGTTTTGGACTTTTTTCAAACTGAATACATTCCAGAATTCTGATCCTGTGTAAGAAAAGAAAACTGATTTTGAAGGCCAACTGCAGGTATTGTGTAAATTAAAGTAACTGGGAGAGAAGGAATAAGATGATGAATGTTTTTCTTTCATTTGTTTGTTTTTAAAGGGCTTCCCATATCCAGAGTTGAGCATCCACTACCTGGAATTCTGAAATGTTAAATACTCTAGAAGTATACACATGGGTGATTGAGGTAGTGACATTTTTGTCTGCTGCTAGTTCAGTGTATATAAACTTTGTGTTATGCACAAAATTATTTTAAAACCTTTATATCAGTGGTTCTCAACCTTCCTATTGCCACGACCCCTTAACAGAGTTCCTCAAGTTGTGACCCCCAACCATAAAATAATTTTCATTGCTACTTCATAACTGTCATTTTGCTATTGTTTTTTGTTGTTGTTTTTTTTGTTGTGTCAGGAGCGACTTGAGAAACTGCTACTGATATCAATTGTAATGTAAATATCTGATGTATTTTCATTTACCACTCCTCTGTTATGTCAGCTTCACTGGCTGCCGAGCCAGTTCCGAGCACCATTCAAAGTATTGGTTTTGACCTATAAAACCCTATACGGCTCCGGCCCAGCGTACCTGTCCGAACATATCTCCTTCTATGTCCCACCTCAGAGTTTAAGATCTTCAGGGGAGGCCCTGCTCTCGGCCCCGCCTCTATCACAAGTGAGGCTGGTGGGGACGAGGGACAGGGCCTTCTCGGTGGTGGCCCCTCGCCTGTGGAATTCACTCCCCTGGGAAATTAGGTCATCAACATCCCTCCTCTCCTTCAGAAGGAAGCTGAAAACATGGATATGGGACCAGGCCTTTGGGTAATCTGGCAGACTGACAAGATAATGATGACCAGAAATTGGAAAGGACTACGGTAATGCTGAATGGACTTACGTATATCAGAACTCGGTGAACGGTGGCCACTAGATTGGCTTTTGTTATTGTTTTAATTGATTGTTTTAACTACTGTGGTTATTGCTGTTACGTAATTTATCTGTTGAATTGTTGGCATCAAATTGTGCCAGTTGTAAGCCGCCCTGAGTCCCTCCTCGGGGGTTGAGAAGGGTGGGGTAGAAGTGCCCGAATAAATAAATAAATACATTTACTGGACTAAATTTGGCACAAATACTCAAGACACCCAAGTTTAAATACTGGTGGGGTTGGAGGGGGAGAACTGATTTTGTCATTTGGGAGTTGTAGTTTCTGGGATTTATAGTTACCTACAATCAAAGAGCATTCTGAACTCCACCAATGATGGCATTGAATCAAACTTGACACACAGAACTCCCATGAGCCACAGAAATTATTGGAAGGGTTTGGTGGACATTGACCTTGAGTTTGGGAGTTGTAGTTCACCTCCATCCAGAGGGCACTGTGAACACAGACAATGATGGATCTGGACCAAACTTGGCACAGATACTTAATATGCCCAAATGTGGACACTGGTGGAGTTTGGGGAAGATAAACATTGAAACTTGTAAGTTGTAGTTACTGGGATGTATAGTTTGTTACAGTATATGGTTTTGTAAGTCTTGACAAGAATCAAGACAAGTATATGTGTGTTGAGGAAGAACCACTCCCTGATTAGGATGTATATCAGGTGAAGTTTTCTTGATGCAGGTAGTGGGTGAAATGAAGCAATCAGAGATGGAACTATGCTACAAGGTTTGCTGGAAAGAAGCAGATTAATGCATTGTTTTGTAAGTGTTTTTTTCCTTCTGCGATGGACAATGATGGACAATGTGTTTTCAAGGCTACTGTATTTTTCCTTTATAAAATACATGTGTTGACTACTCAAGAGTAAAGACATTTTTCTTTTATGCTCTGTGTATTTTCAACTTGGGGCCTGGAGCTGGGAAGACTACTGTGTATTTTCAATATAAACTAACAAACCGCAACATAGTTCACCTACAATCGAAGAGCATTCTCAACCCCACCAAGGACATAATTGGGCCAAACTTCCCACACAGAAACCCCATGACCAACAGAAAATACTGTGTTTCCTGATGGTCTTTGGCGACCCCTCTGACACCCCCTCGGGACCCCTCCAGGGGTCCTGACCCCCAGGTTGAGAAACACTGCTCTATATGCATAAGGAATTATCTTCCTAATGGAACCAAAGTCAAAACACAAAATTAATTTTTGCTTCATATCCATTGTTATCTGATCTGCCAGGTATTTTGGACTTCAGCTCCCAGAATCCCTGATCACTTACCAAGGCAGCCAAGGGTTCTAGGAATTGAAGTCTTGGAAATACCGGCAGACTAGCATTTGGGAATCATCAAATAGACTTATACTTATGTTCTGAAGGTGATTTTATAGAATATTTTAAAATAATTTTGTGCATGTCACAAAGTTTATATACACTGAACTAGCAGTAGGCAAAAATGTCACTACCTCAGTCACCCATGTGTATAATGTTGCTTTTGCATAAAACTTCACCGAGCTCGGTGGTGGGAGACACAATGGCTAAAGACATCTTTCCTTGGCTGTAGACATCTTTCCTTTCTTCACTTCGAAGACTCACTTTTTTCCTATATAAACAAATCTTAGAATTACAGATGTATCTCATGTATTTTTGTTGGTGGTAGATGAAGTTTGTGTGCGTCTTGCAATTGAAGAAATATAGTATTCAAATATTTCTCCATGATGAGATATAATATGTCTGTGCATGCACACATACAAGACAAACACACACAGATATACAATAGTTACACATAGGGGAAAAATTGTTTTGGATGTGAACGGACACTATAGTCAAGACAAAATCTGAAAACCAGTAACATACATTGACTTTTCAGATTGACAGATTTTATAGTGACCATGTTAGTCAAAGATTTGGACATTTCTCTGTTGAAAGAAATTACACTGAAATCCTGTTATATTATGAAGTTATTGATCTTGTCTGGGTGAAATAAGAATTCTCTAAATATAACAGTTCATGGGTGCAAGCAGGCGCCTCCCCATTAAATGCAAAAGAAAGCCCTTTCTCAGTCTACGAGCTACCCCTGCTATAATACTTCAATAACTTTTGGTTTCTATTACGATTATTTCTGCAGCAAAAAGAGTCTTTTTATATGTTCTTTGTCAAAAGTAGAAGTCAGCGGGACAATACTGGTTTCTACTGCGAACATTTAAGATACAATACTATAAATTGCTATGACATTTCCAAGAAACATGTTGCAGATGATCTAGGGAATGCCTTTAAAGCCTTGTCATCCATCAGACAGGGTTCCCTTGAAAAGACAAGCCAAAAGCTCATGATGGGAATAGATTGACTGCAACAAATTTCCACTGAAGTTAGGAGATAATCCACATACTGCACACTTCAAATGATTAGGCTACAAAGAAAATACTAGGGAATCCCATTGAATGCCAATGGACTTGCTTTCATCACCCAAAAATATGTTTATCACACTTGTTTTAATATCTAAGAACTGAATCCTGAACCCTTTCAGATGGATAACAATGCCTATGGCTATAAAGGCATTCCCTATATTATATCCTAAATGTTGGCACTAGATGGCACTGTAGCTCATTCATAAAAAGAACATTAAAATTTTGTATGATTTTGCTGAAAAAAATAGTTTTACAAGCTGTTAGCAATAAATTGGAACTGTTTGCAATTACTGATCTTTGAAGTGCAAATAATATTTATTTATCTATTTGCGACATTTATATGCCGTCCTTCTCTCCTCGAAGGGGACTCAGAGCGGCTTACAAGATATATATACATACAATATATTATATCATTAGCATAGTACAATATCAGTATTATATATTACTATGTTGTACTATACCATTATATTGTAATATTATTAGTAATATTACATGTAATATAAAATATATAATTATAATATATTATTATTATTATTTCTGCAGTAATTTGTCCATTGCCTCTAAACTGCCTGTAAACTGGCCTGTGGATAGATGTGGCCCTCAGTGGCCTTATCTTAACTTGGCCTGACACCTCATATGCTGCAACTTCAAATGTTTTTTGTGTCCATACTCCAGTTATATTGGGAGGAGTTTCCCTTCTCTAGTACCAAGCCTTGTACTCCTTCTTACAGATTTGGCTAATTAATGGAGAATGTGTGGTCCTCCTGATGTTACTAGATTGAAGTTTCCCTTGTCAGTTACCATTGTTAATGCTGTCTGGAATGAGTGCTTCAATCCAACAAAATTTGTTGGAGGGCCAAGTGTCCACTGTTTTGGTCTTCAGAAGAGGTGGGTTTTAGGGGAAGGGGAGGATCTCAAGGATAGTGCTGCCCAGGATTTTATTATTATTATTATATTATTATAACTTTATTTGTACCCCGCTAGCATCTCCCGAAGGACTCGATGCGGCTTACATAGGCCAAGGCCTCAAAACACAATACAACAATACAGTACCTAAAGCAAATTAAAAACAGTTAAGCAGAATAAACAACAAACAATAAACAATACATCAGGACACTATAAAACTGGGCCGGGCCAGAGTAATGGGTACAAGATTAAAAGTGCTGATGTGGCAGGAGGTATGTAGGATTATAAGTAAGTGCAGTGTGCAGAGTGCAGCAATCTTAGTTCTACTAAAGTGCTTCTAGGACTTGGTATTGGAGATTCCTAGTCTGAGAAGGCACATCGGAATAGCCAGGTCTTCAAGTTCTTTCTGAAGACTGCCAATGTAGGGGCCTGTCTGAGATCTTTTGGGAGGGCGTTCCAGAGTCGGGGGGCCACCACAGAAAAGGCCCTGTCTCGAGTCCCCACCAAGCGCGCTTGCGACGTAGGCGGGATCACGAGCAGGGCCTCTCCAGATGACCGAAGTGAACGCGTGGGTTCGTAGACGGAGATGCGGTCACGCAGGTAGGGTGGTCCCAAACCGTTCAGGGCTTTGTAGGTAAGCACCTGCACCTGCACCTTAAATTGGGCTCAGAAAATAAACGGCAGCCAGTGGAGCTCCTTGAACAGGAGTAATTAGGGCTGGGCGGTTTCGTTCGTTAATTTCGTAATTCGTTATTAATTTGTTATTTTTTTTATAACGAAGCGATATTGAACCATTCAGGAGCAACTAAAAATCGAAA